GCGAAAGCGGCGCTCGAGCATGCAGCAGAGGAGATGGCCCGCTACTATGACCAGAATCGGGAAGCGGCGCCTGAGTACAAAGAGGGTGACCAAGTCTGGCTCAGCACCCAAAACTACACCACGGACCGCCCAACCAAAAAGCTAGATCACAAATGGATGGGCCCCTTTAAAATTCTCAAGGTTGTATCCCCTGCCGCCGTCAAGCTCCAACTTACAGCACGGCAAAAGGGAGTCCACCCAGTGGTGTCAGTAACGAATGTCCGACCCCACCGCCCAGATGAGATCACCGAACGACCCACCGACCCTCACCCAGGCCCCAAAATCATAGACAGGGGGGAAGAGTACGAAGTTGAGAAGGTCCTCGACTCCCACTGGCACTGCAGGAAGCTCTGGTATTTGGTAAAGTTCACAGGCTGGCCAAACTCCGAGAATGAATGGCTCCCCCTTGACAACCTGGCCAATGCACGCGACCAGATCAAGGAGTTCCACAGAGCGCACCCAGACGCCCCCGGGAGAGAACGAGGGAACCCTCTAGCCACTTCAAGGTGAAGTGGCTTAAGAGGGGGGTGATGTCAGGGCACGCTGCCACTGCCGCCGCCGCTGCCACCTCTTTTCCTTTGTCTCATCCTCTCATTCTCTCTTCTTTCCTTCTTCTGCTCTTCTATCTTTATACAGACGACCTCTCTTTCTTTCCTACACTTGTAGCACGGATGTGCTGCACATGTCAGAGACCAGGTTGAGACAAGGGAAAGTCTCTGTGGCAGAGGGCTTCGGCCTCAGCGACTTATGCCAGGAGGCCTGTGCCAAGTAACACATCCATGCCCTAACTTACTAACTGGCAACCAGAACTGAAGGGGGTAAACTCTAGTCGATTTTATTACTGAAGTGTAACCTATGTACAAGTATATAGTTACAGCGAAGATGGGTCCACAAATGGCAGAGCAGAGCTAACGGGGTTAAACATTAGCCGACTGAATATTACCGACGAGTTGGGTTACAGGGTTAATGGAAAGGCAGGCGATAACCCAGAAACGGAAAGGAGGGATAGGCCTGAAGGTAGGCTCTGCAGGGCAGGCGAGTGTATTGCCCAACGGAGGCGGGAGTGCGCTAGCAGACGTCGGAGCTGTCCGGAAGTCTTTGGGGCTCCGTACTTAGGGAGGCATAGGTAATAAATTGAAAGGAGGGGGTGGTGACCATCGAGGGGTACCGAGGGGATTGTGGAATACAGGAGCTCCAAGGTTAGTGAAGAAGGAGTGGAGGTAGACCAGAGGGATCGGAGGGACCGGAAGTCGATGGCCGGGGGTGGATATGACAGCACACCCCTACTTGTATTTCCCCTCCAACACTCGGGATTGACCATGGAGCCACCCATGGTAACCCGGCTTCATCCGGGGGTGATGTGGCACCTCCACGTGACCCATTCACACATGTATATAAACTAAGCCGAAGCAGGACCAAAGAAGTAACCTTCTTCTCATTTCCCGCTTCAGGCAAGTACCCTAGTTTAGTCTAGCTTCCCACCCTAATAACAATACATTTCCCGCTTCAGCCTAAGAAGCCACACAGGGACATAAGCCTGAGTGAGGGCTGCCCACTATATGGTCTCACCACCCCACCGCTGTCCAGGCCGCTAGCGCTGAGCGCTACGCCGCCACCTCCGCCTTCCTCGAGCCATCCCTGACACTTGTTTGGCTACTGGTTGTCTGTCAATCGCAACACACTCCCTCAGTGCTACATGTCACAAGGTCGAATCATCAGCCTTACCATGTCAATCGGGTTACATAGCTGCCCCTTTGCAATGCTCACTGGACCCAGCACGCCTGTCTGAACAACCTCATTCAAGCGTGACTTGTCTGTCAAGTATAACAAACTCCATCAGTTTGACAAGTTGTAAGGCTGAACCGGCACCTTTGCCTGTTCATTCGGATCGTGTAGCTGTTTGCTCATGTCACCCGGGATCAAACAAACCAGGCAGACCAGTCTCCACCGGTTTGTCACTGGTTGCAACGTGCATCGTCAAGTCGATGCGTTACCCAGCCAACGAGACGTCACCGCCTGCCCAAACGAAAACTCTGATTGCATCTCTACATCATCCTCACAACTCAGAGCACTTGCCTGCACTACATCTGTCAGAGGTGGTCTGTCCATCGAGCACCACACTCGCGATTAGCACAAAGAGCCGCATAGGCAATCCCATACTCCTGAATGGCCAGCCGGACCCATCGGTCACTCTTTCACTTCGCCCTTTTGAACCATTGCACTCACGTGTGCTCGACCACCTGGTTGTCATCTTGCCCACCAAGAAGCTCTCTGTTGGTTTTTCATGGCAATCACCAGAGTTGTTATATTCAGATGGGTCACTGCCCTGCTTAGACACAGCCTCTCCATCAGGCATGACACATCATGCTAGCATAGCACATCATGCCATCAGTTCAACATTACCTCAGGCCCAACCGGTTCCCTGGATTGCCAATCTGCATCGAACTCCCAAGTCAGTGCACACACTCGAGCTGTATAGCCCAGTGAGGGTCTACATGTCAATCATGGAATTCTTCCATCCAGACTCCTTAGTTGATGACCCATCAAGTGTGAGACCCCTTTCTAGCTCAATACTCTCGCCAGTTCTATCGGGCCTCCCAGCAGCTTATTCACATCGTCCCCGAGAGCTGAGGCACTGGTATGACCTGTATCATCCAGCTAGCGCTGGATTGGTGATTGTAACGAACCCTATTGTTTCGACATGTCAAGTGACCGCATCCTCGGTCAGCCGTGGTGTTCAGGCTTGCGACAAAACTCTCAGCCACAAAGTCAGTGCATCCGACCCCCAGCTGGGCAGAACTCAGGTCATGACACTAATGTGGCGAGCGGAAGCTAAGGACATTCATTCCCTAACCATCTCACCCTTTGATTGGACCCATGAACGGTTGTCTTCACCTATCTGGCCGGATCCCCAGGTGGATCCTCCACATCACCTATATGAGTCAGAACACTCCCATGAACCACGTCAAACAGTCATGGCTGGTTTGCTGATTAAGATGGGTCCCATCAGTTCAGTGGGCCAAGTGTCTGAACCGATGTCGTCATCAGCATATACACCAACCATGACATGCTTCATCAATCCAGCGCACTTTGAGATCAGATTGATATCATCGCATGTGTTAGAACCGGGCAGATTCGGACGACTCCGGAGTGGAATCAGAGACTTAGCGTGGAAGGACCTCGGCCTCAGCAACTCATGTGGAGCGCTGTGCCATTGCTGGTTGTCCTAGAGGTCCCTAATTTCGGATCTAGCAGAGGGAAAGTCTCTTGGGGGGAATTCATGTCGATTTCGGACTGAGGTTACCAGTTACTAGGTACATTGTATATAAGGAGGGGTCCAGAATCAAAAGGAGCAAGGGTAGGATGAAAGGAGACAAAGGGAGATGGAAAGAGGAACAACACCGAGGGTCAAGGGTTTGACTCAATGGTGTTTCTCAAAGGAGGAATGAAGGGCCATGGCCCAAGGAGGAAGGAAGGAGGTTGGGAGTGGGGAATGGCTAGCTGACTGAATAGAAAGTAAGCAGCAGCCCAAATAGGAATGAGGGAGAATAGCAGAACTGAATGGAGCAATGCAATAGTTGCAAGGTCCGACATAAGTCCGGAAAGTCCGAACTCGGAAGTTAAACTCCAGAATATTGGCAAACATAATTAAATGGAATGAGCTAACCAATACAATGGGTATAAGCGGAGGTGGGGTCAAAGTCCGAGGTTGGAGCTAAGACCGGAGGTTCCGGAGACAGAGATGTGAACGGGATTCCGGAGTGGAGGTCCGGAGTCGGGAGCATAGGTTTTGCATACTCATCTGGAAGGTGTTGAGGTTGGGGTCGGACCTGGAATGTTCCGGAGTCGGACCGAAGGTGGTGTCCAAGCCGGAGGTGGGATAACCTCTTGGGAGTCGGCAAGGAGAAAGTGACAGAAGGGAAGTAGGGCTCCAGAAGTCGGAGTTCGGAGTTCCAGGAGCCCGGAGCAGAGGTCAGGATTGTATGGATATGACAGCATGACCAGTTGGATTTTCCTGCCATTCCTGTGTGTCAACCACTCAAGCTGACATGCCCAAATGGACCATACAGTCCAGCACATCAACCTACTCAGGTTGAAGGGCAGCCCAACATTCTTGCAGGTGATCCGGTTCTCAACAAAGGTCCCGGCCACAAAATCTGCATGTCTAACTTCATGCCAGGTGGAACTCAGATTGGGCATAGGAATGGGGTTTTTCACGGGTCTGCATCAAGCCATTCTGAGAGAACAATGGTACCGATGAGGCTTGGCTACGACCCTAGCGGTTGTCCTCCAATTACCTTGCTCATCAACACTTGGAATCGTAAACTGATGTCCTCATCTAACCAATCGAACCATCCAGCCGCCCTTTTGCTTCCCTCACTCATGTTGGCATGCTGGCACGCGCTGCATTGTTCAGCGGCAGTACACTCATTGATCATAATGCACCCCATTAGTCCAGAGCGTCAAAGGGACACACGATCCATTGGCACTGGCGCATACTGCCTCTGTCCTGGCCACCATTACACTCAGGTCGAAGGAAGGACAATCATCCTCATTAATGCCCTGGCACTTGATGAGGATCCCAGCTGTGGAATCTACACGACTAACTCCCATCTGGGCAGAACCTGGATTATGACGTTAATGTGGCTATGCCCCATCTCTTATGTCAAGGGCTGCCATCTCCCCATTACCTCGCCCATCGACAATTGGGACAGCGAGCCGTTGTCTTTGCTGGCCCAACCAGTTTCTTTGACTGAGGAATTGTGCCGTCCCTTCGAGTCAGCATGCCTGCTTGAGCCTGACAGCTCATTGGTGGACCATCTGTTTACCAAAGTGTCCCTCCAGCTGGACCCTCTAGCCGATTCTTCTTGCCGTCTTATCAAGCTGGCACGTCTGCATGTGCCAGGTCATTCAGGGGCAGGTGAACTAACAAGCACAACGCACACCATTAGCTCGATGCGTTATGTGGCAGAACCGACGTTTCCACTTGCCCAGATGGACCACCCAGTTGCTCTTTCGTCTAGTTCCCTCAAGCCCGAGTGCTCATGCCCTCTGTGTCTTACAGTCAGGGCTGGATGGTCGATCACAATGAATCATGTCTGTCCGTCTGGCCAAGTGGTCGAACCAACCCTTTTGTCCACTCGCACAGGTTCTCAGATTGTTGTTACGCACTCCTCTCTCGAGTCAGCTCACTTGCAGTCATCACACCACTCAGTAGCAACACGTTCAACAATTGCAACTCGCTCCACCAATTCGGTGTACCAGGCAATCGGGTTGGCATCCTCCCATGACCGGTTGGATCCTCCAGTCGTTCCCGCTTGTCAACTTCTTGATTCAGCATATCTGCATGGGCTATGTTGTTTGCCGGTAGTCCATCTACCGATGCCGGTGTATTCCACCAAGACAATGTGTCAGGTGTTTGAGAGAACTCCTTTGCATGTCCACTCAGATCCGCCAGATGATATCATGCACCACCTTCTCGAGCAGGTGCATTCGTATGGCCTATCTGTGGTTTGTTCACCATTGGTAATGCCACCTGTCAGTTCAGCACAATATACAATCAAGTCATCCTTGCACGATCAGTCGAATCCACTGGTGGTACCAATCAGCTGTCCTCTAGAATCGGCGGGTACTATGATCCATCACGCACATGAACCGCCACCCTTGTTTGATCTGTCAGACACTTTGATCGTTCCTGTGCAACATTTCTCTGAGCAGGTCCATTCACAAGTGCAGACACAGTCAGAACCTGAGTTGTCGCGGACAGAGCTACTCCAGGCACAACTGTCCAGGACACAACTCGACCTACCAAAAGGATATATGCCATGACATTATGCTTGGAAATGACAGGTATGATACGAGCGCCACCGTGGCACCACCCTCGTGAGGTGTTGTACCTGCCGGATATGGCATGCCACACCTCCAAGATATCGTGGTGGTCATCAAACGCAGCACGTCCACCTGCCAAGCTCTGCTGTCTGAAGATCTCTTGTGCCCAGCTGAAGGTGATCCTCACGGCAGTACAGGCTCTCATCCAGACTGCAACCGTGGTTAGTTACTTGCCGGGCCCAACTAAGGACAAACCCGGGAAGAGCTTCTATACCCCGTTGGTGGTTTCAGGTGGTCCTGAGCCTGGCAAATTACGTGCCGCATGGAGCTGTGTGAACTCGAGGCCAAGAGTATCTATATGGCATTATGAGATTGACAACAATAGAATCCTGTTCCTGAACCTCGGTAGAGGAACTGTTATGGAAATGGGACTTTCCCATTTTAGACTCTTATGGGTTCTGTGTCACATGATTTGTATAGTAATTAAGTTTAACCAATCATTAATCAACAAAAACCCGCTGCCACACTACCTGTTCAACAACATGTTAAACCATCTGTGAAACCACCTGTAAACCCCTATGTCCAACCCCCTTTCCTATTCCTGCGCCAGAACAGACAAAAATGGGCGCTTCCGGCCCCATTTTTGTAACAGGAACCATCGTCTTGACTCCTCCCAGAGGCTCGCAATGGTACCCCTTACAGGCCAACTGCCTGTCTATCTCTGTGTCCTCAACTGCTCCTGAGTCCACAGTCACGTCGTCAGACCAGTCAAATCCAATCGTCTTGCTGCACCCTCCGGGATGGTTCCATTACCTGATTAAACGAGAAAACTCGCTTCCCAACCTGGCCCATCCTGTCTTCCCAGCATCACACCGTATGGTTGGTCCATCTAGACCAACTCCCAAACCCACAACCCTCCTGTGTCCTTGCACACTCACCCTCAGTTTAGTTACGTCGGCCCAGTGTGGGTGGAGAGAAGTCGAGCCATCAAAGTCCAATAACTGTCAGGGACAGCTCCGAAAGCGGCGAGGTCCCTGCGCGCGGGACTCGGTGAGAGGGATAGCGGCCGTGCATAGTGGCGATCTCGTCGCGGGGTGAGCATCCCCGACCACTTAGTCTGAAGTGGGAATATGAGTTATTATTAAAAGGGGGGACTACACTACTTGCCTGAAGTGGGAATATGAGAAGAAGGCTGCTTCTTCGGTTCCCACTCCAGCCAGTATTATATACATGCGGGATCAGTCACGTGGGGAGCGCCACATCACCCCTGCACACAGCCACGGCTCTCCGGGTGTCTCCGCGGGAGATCCCAAGAGGGCTCGCTGTAAATGCGGGGCAAGTGCGGCGACGGCAGTGGCGGCGATGTAGGGGTGGTAAGGTACAGGAGGGGAAATAGGCATGTACGCCGGTGATACATTGAAGAGCGGGAAAGGTGGTCCATGTGAGAGAGAGAGAGAGAAGGAAAGGGAGAAAGGAGGAAAGGAGAAAGGAGAAAGGAAGAGGGTGTGGCGGTGCGGAGCGGGGTCGGGCGGGGCGTGCCCTGACAATAACCAGGCTCCCAGGAACGACACCTTATCATTGCACCCATTGAATACAAAGGATGAGAGATCCAACTCGGGATCAAACGTATTAAACAAACTAGCCTCTCCCTCTTCCCTTCCAAGCCACCGCTGAGACTCCCAGTCTCCACCTCAGCTCCCATATTGGGTTGCTGCACAAAGGGAGGGACACATGCGGCCCAGCGAACTTATTTACTAATGTTTGGTTCGAAATTCCTGTCATAATTACCTTTCATGTTCTATCTCTGCGCTCATTCCTGACCCCTGAAAGCTGCCATGGCTGATCGAAATTCGCTGGGTAGCATCAGGGGCTGGGACTGAGTTGAACCTCGGCATGCAGCCAAGATGCGCCAGAAGTCGCCAGCTACATTTCTCAACTGCCTGGTGGTCTCCATGCCTCTGGTCGCGAGGGGGGAGCTATTGGTACCTGCAACTGACATCAGCAGTCATGCAATTTCCGCCTTTCTTTGCATCAAATGCTCTCGCGTCACGGTCCCAATTACGACCAGACTCATCAAGTCCCACACCATCAATCATCACCTCCCAACGGAGGCTAATCCCACCACAAATTGTACCGTATGCATATCTTAGCGCCTAACCTGGTCATTGCCACATCACTTGAACTGGGCAGTCTCATACCCTCATGACTTTGTGCATGCTAGTTTCGATAGCAGATTGTCCCTTCCCACCAGGTTGCCCGATACTCTTTTGATACCCATTGATCTGTCAAACGGACCTGATGACGTGCAATCCAAGGTCGGACCCTTCAAACTTTCCGCTCCTGCCAGAGTTGATGCACACAGAGAGACTTGTTTGCATGCCATTACATGGGATAGGATATCGACTGGGAAGGACACATACACCGTCACAGCACTCAATCTTGAACCCGTGCACACCCTTGTCACATTCACCACCCATAGAGAGCGCTGTCAAATGCACCCATGGAAACCAGCATGGCTGCTCGCTTCAGCAGGACCCCCCCCCCCCCATATACTCTGAGTCGTTCGCCGAGAGGAGATCGCCTGCTCACATCGATGCTGTCTGCCACCCCTCGGCACCAGACTGTATCACTGCATTCCCACCACTGCTTGGTTGCCTGGTCGAGATATGGTACCTGTGGACAAATAGCATGCTCAAACAAGCTCGATGTCGAACCTGGAACAAGATCGCAGGTCTCTGATATGGTCTTGCAGCGCATTGGCATGTATACGTACCCATCTGTGTCCTTGCCCACATATCGATGGTTCTATGGTTGACTTCAGTTCACAGGCACGCAGGAGCAAATACAGGGTGGAGGGGACTTCCCTTACTTGAGGATCCAATCCACTGAAGGTGTGACCACCAACAGAAGAGAGCTTACAATTTCTTGTGGTTCTCAGTGCATGCAACCTGAAGCCAGGTCGCTCGAGGCACATTTCGAATGATGAGCCTACACAAGATCTATACCGGCCCCCAGTAGGTCTGGAAGGCCTTGGAGCAACAATGACGACACGATAGCCGCCCAAAACACAGAAGCGGGAACTGTCCTAGTTTGAGCAATGGACGGTTTCCATTTTGGATGAAGTCCGAAGTCCACTCGAGCATCAGTTATCCAACTTACAGGTCATACACCATGACGCCCTGTCATATCCATCCCCGGCCATCGACTTCCGGTCCCTCCATTCCCTCCGTTCTACTCCGCTCCTCTCTCACCAACCTCGGAGCCCCCCGTATTCCGCAAACCTCTCGATACCCCTCGATGGCCACCACCCCCTCATTTCAATTTATTACCTATGTATGGAGCCCCAAAGACTTCCGGACAGCTCCGACGTCCACTAGCGCACCCCCGCCTCCGCTGGGCAATACACTCGCCTGCCCTGCAGAGCCCACCTTCAGGCCTATCCCTCCTTTCCGTTTCTGGGTTAACGCCTGCCTTTCCGCTAACCCTGCAAACCGACTCGTCGGTAATATTCAGTCGGCTAATGTTTTAACCCTGTTAGCTCCGCTCCGTTCAGCTCCGCCAATTGCGGAACCATCTCCGCTGTAACCATATATATATCTCCCACTTGTACATAGGTTACGCCCCAGTAGAAAAATCAACTAGAGTTACCCCCCTAGGTTCTAATTGCCAGTCAGTAAGTTAGGGCACGGACGTGTCACTAGGCACAGCACTCTTGGCAGAAGTCGCTGAGGCCAAAGCCCTCCGTTACGGAGACATTCCTTCGTCTCGAGTCTGGTCTCTGACACGCCCTCACGATGTCCAGGTTGTTCTTGGTAGACATCTGGCCAGCTGCCAGACTGCCCCAACCTGGGACAGTGCAACTTTGTCGCTAACGTCTATTTCCAATGCGAGTCCATGGGTCATCCACTGCCTCACTGAGGGGTGTTGTGGCTAGATTAGACACAATCCCTGTATTGTCTGGAATATTATGTGACTAGCAGTACAGAAGGTACTTCCCAAGTGGCAAGACCCACCCACATGTTGTGTCTGGGCCCAGCCAGGAGACAACGTCATGCACCTCCTTGCCTCATTGTTCAGGGAGAACAAATTATACACACCGTCATGGTCCACACTCAAGCCAATGCACTTATGTCCGGCTTCACCATCAATGCTATTATGCATGCCCAATACTTCCTCTGCACAGTACACATATCCATCCTGCTCATTGCCGGAGTGCTCACTAGAATGGCTGGACCCTCGAGATGTAATGTGGCAGCTGTTAGACCGACCCACTGGCTCAGCGGCTGTTTGATCAGACATGCCTATCTTGCTATATTCCATGTCAATCCCAGCATGTCTAGATTTGTCCACCTCACAATCGGGCCAACTTCATTAGAGGTTCACACCCACACCATATTCAAGTTCCCTTCCCAGGATGAGACCTACCGGTTCTTGAATTTAAGGTTTCACACACATCCACTCAACCCTAAGGACCCAGCTGTCTGTCAGGTCCTCAGAGAAGGGATTGGAGTCTACTCCACAATCCAGAGTTCAGAGTGCCAGCCTGTTGTTACCACCTTGCCCCTTTGGACTTTCACACTGGCCCATAAGAGTCTGGGGGGCGATGTTATAGATATAGGCTAGAATCTTATGGTCTGTGGTTGCAAGCAGATGGACCCAGGACCTTCCCCATTTTACTTCTCCATCAAACCCCATGCCAAGCTTTCCCACCGGGTTTTGGTGCTGGCTGGGGGATTTGTTGAGTTTCAAGGGACTTCCCTTGACCATTATGACTTTTATATTAGATAGTTAGAAGTCATATGATGTGTAAGGCAGATGCTGAAAAATGTCTTTTCCTTATCTAATACATAACCCACAAAACCTTGTACCATGATTGTAACTGCCACACCATTGTGCCACCACTGGAAGCCTTCTCTGTAACATCTGACTTGGTCCATATTCTTACAATCTGTGAGAAAACCTCAATGGCCCAGTGAGTGCTCAGACACCGGACCTCACTCTTCCCGCTCCCACCCCCCCACTGGGTGGTTGAGCTCCCATTCCTATCCTTCCTGTAGTACCCTACTGGGTCCTACAACCCTTCCTCCCTTCTTGGGAGGGGAAGTGACCCAGGCAGCCCCAGGATGCCTGGCCACGTACCCGCATGCCCAAATTCCCACAGTCACTCACTACCATGCACTGGTCAACCAACCTGCCTGTCCCAACAAATCCCGCTACCGGTACACTCCCTTGAGTGCCAAGTAACTGATAGACAACCACTGGGCTACTCCCTCAAGGAGTGCCAACTACCCACGCTACCGGTACGCTCACATGAGTGCCAAGTCACCGCTAGCCAACTGTTAGATGGCTCCCTCAAGGAGCCCCCATTATACCCGCTGCCGGTACGCTCCTCGGAGTGCCAAGTTACCGTTAGTACACCCGGTCTCAGATCTCCTCCTGCTCTCCCTTCAATGGCTACGCAGCCACCTCTGTCCATGAGCAGAACGGCTCAGGTTGGGTTCCCCGGAACCCATTCCTGTAACACTTGGCCTGAAACCACCTTGCATGTTGTATTCATATTGTCCCCTTTGGGCCTTCCTGGTCTTCCCATCCCATCAATTTGCATCCCTTTATCCCTTCTGTCCCCAACAAACAGGCCATAACCCTGATCCTCTCATTCTTGCAGACTTCTGCCATGGCATGTATGAGATGAGAGCCTGGTGCACATACGCTTTCCATGCAGTATGAGACAATATACTTGCACTTTTGCACTTCCGATAGGCACGCGCTCCTCGCCTGCAACTCGAATTCATACAAAAACTTTTTCACCTTCTTCCCCTTGAACTTTGGGGCCTCTCTACTCCTTGGTCCTGGCATGCACGTAACCATTGTGTGAACGGTCACAGCTGCGACTCCAGCTACATTCTGAGGAGCTCCATCCAACTCTGGTGCTTCACCACTGTCATATCCATGCATATCCGATCCCGACCCGACTCCTGGACCTCCTTCTTCACCACCTCCGGAGTCCTACCCTACCGCTGTCTGTTCCGATGTTCACCTTCAGTCCTGACACCACACCTCCTCTCACCTCCCATGACCACCTCCACTCCTCTGTCCACTCCGATACCCACCTCGGACCAAACACCACTCCTCTTGCCACCCTCCTCCTACTCCTCCTCCCACTCCTCCGCTCCCTCCTCCACCCTTCCATCATCCTCCTACTCTTCTCCTGTCCGCTCCGATACTCACCTTCAGACCTGACTGTCAGGGACACGTCCGGGGTCGAGAGGGCCCGGGGGTAATATCCAGCACTGAGGCCGTCGCGGGGTGTGGAGCGGGTGTGCATACTGGTGGGCCCGATCCGGGACAGTGGTCCCTGGCCACTCAGACTGAAGTGGAGAATGTGTTATTATTATTAAAGGGGAAAACTATACTACTTACCTGAAGTGGAGAATGTGAGAAGAAGGTTACTTCTTCGGTTCCCACTTCAGGTACATTTATGTACATGCGGCTTGAGTCACATGACGGGTGCCACATCATCCTCGGAGGCAGCCGCAGGCATCCGGGTGTCCCCGTGGGGGATCCCAAGAGCGTCCGCTGCATGTGCGTGTGCTGGGCACAGCAGGAAGCCGTCCGGGGTGTGTGGGCCGGACGGGTCAATAGTACATCAATACAAAGGAAGGTGGTCCGTGTAGATAGAAAGAAATAAACAGGAAGGGGAAGATGAGAAGAATGAAATAAAGAAAGGGGAAAGAAGAGGGAAAAGAAAGGGGAGGAGAGGGAGGAAGGAGGGGGGAGGGGGATAGACAATGGGGAGCGGGTGTGGTGTGGCTGGGTGGGTCCGGGTGGACCTGGGTCAGGCGGGTGTGCCCTGACACTGACACCTTTCCTCCTTCCTCTTCCTCTCTCTTCCCTCTGGCCCTCTTCCACCGATCCCCCACCAAGTTATGACCTTCCACCGCTGTCTCGTACTTCGTACTCGGACACCCCTCGTACCTTTGCTCCAAGACTCAGTCATAGCTCCTACCTTGGACTTTGACTCCACCTTGGCCTTAGTCCATTGCATTGGTGACCTCATACTACATAAACACCATTGCCAATATTCCTCAGACTTTCAACCCTGCCTCCGTAACCTCCAAGCTCCATGGATCATCTTCAGCTCTTTCGCCACTTGTCTCTCGCATTTTCCCATCATCCCTATTTGGACTGCTGCTTCTTCCCATTCTAGCCAGTTAGTCATCATCCCCACTTCCCCTCGTCCTCCTGCCCCTCTGGGCTTTGCCCTCCTTACCTCCTTTCGGATGTACCACAGGTTCTGCCTTATGACCTTCGGTACCGCTCCGCTTCTGTCACCCCTTTGTTCCTGTTCGGATGCCTTCATTCCGATTCGGATCCAACCCAACCCCTTTGTTCCTTGTGCTTTCGCCCTCTCCATTATATATATTGGCACTTGTACATACTTGTTTTAAGCCTTTAGTCTAAAATCAACCTGAAATGCCCCCTAGAGACTTCCTGCTCGCCTCCTATGAAATTAAGGACCAAATGGACAAACAGCAATGGCACAGCGCTCCACTTGAGTCACTGAGGCCAAGGTCCCTCCTTGCTAAGTCTCTGGTTCCCCTCCAGAATCATCCACCCTCACCCAGTGTTAGACACTGATCCGGAGTCGGCACCGAAGGTCACCGATGCGGGCCGCTATTGGCCGCAATGGCTGTGATGCCTCAGACAAGGCCCAAGGGTAGGGCATTTGGCCTCAGCAACTCTAAAGGGAGTGCTGTGCCCCCTAGCTGTCTCTTGGCCCTCATTTCAGACTTACTGGGGTTGCCTTGTTGGGGTCAGGACTTAGGGGTCGTGGTCACATCAATATTAGAGCTAAGGTACAATAAAGTATCATACAGGATATATATAGGAGGAAGGAATGAATGGAAGCAGACCTGGGCCAAAGGCTGAAGGGTCCGGAAGCAAACAAGAATAAGGAGCGGGGTTGGCTGCATAGCGGCCAGCAATGACCGAGGGTCAAAACAAACAATAACAGATAAATAAAGGAAGGAGTGTAGGGCTGTGATAGCAGCGATGGTATCATAGCGGTGCTGGAGTTGGGCTGGAGTCGGGCATGGGAATGGTAGCGGCACTGTAGGGGCCAAGTGGGCGGGGTAGAGGAGTCACGCTGGGCATGGTGCTGGAGGCAGACTCAGGGTGGGGAGGTTGGTGCAGCTGTGGGGGAGTCAGCCGGGTGCAGGGGAGCCTAGGGGCAAGTGGGGGAGTGAGCAGGGAGTCCTCAGGGAGGATAGGGCTGAGGTCGGGGCTCATGCTCATGCTCGCATAGCGGTAACGGGCTCAGGTGGCATCGGGATGGGCAGGGAACGGGCTGGAATGCATGGCCGTGACACCCAGTTCTAACAGGAACGCATACCTCAAACTCAACCCCAATCCAGATTCCAGCATGTGTTATGACCAGTACATTCAGAACATTGCTCGGCCCAACTATAACAAGCTTACTCAGGATCATGGTGGAAAGGGCAGCCAGGGCTGGCAGGGTAAGGTGCAAGAATTGATCCAACTTCAGGACACAAAGAAGCGGGATAGCATTTCAATGATCCAAGATGATGCCAAGGACCAGGGGGGGGTGATAAAGCAGATTGTCAAGAGCTGGAAGCAGGATTCTGTTGCAGCACATTTCACTGGCATTCACATGGCCATGATGATTCTTCCATCCCATAAGGCTGCTTCCGACATGGGCACCTTCGAGTCCAATTCACCACATCTGCACCAATTTATCACTAGTAAGCTCAGCAAGGAGACTACATTTATCCCTGAGCTACACAGTATAATTTCAGGTGTTGATGCACCGGCTACAGAAGCCATGGGGTGGGACAAATTAAGGTCCAAATGCCAGGAATACTTATGCCAGATCATGGAGCAAGCCAGCATGCCCTTCAAAAAGAACTTCCAGTGGAACCAGTTCATTGCTCATTTGATCCGGCAGGGGAAATAGCTTGTGAATTGGCATGACAACCTCCCACTAGCACATGTTTTTTTGGGGGAATACTTGCAGAAAAAGATGGACACCTGGGAGATGCTGTGGACTTCCTGCACTGGAGCCAATAATCAACCTAAGCTTTCCATACAGTCAAGGCCTTCTGGAAGCGACATTATTGTTGTTGCTGTTAATGAGGAGGCCATATTGTCATCCAGTAATGCAGGTGTGTTTTTGCAAAAGCCGAAGCACACTCAAAAAGCTGTAACTCTTGTAGAGGATTGTGAGGATGGAAAGAAGGTGGCCAAGCATCATAGGGTGGGGTCCGAATGTGACCGCTTTGCTGGGTCTGCAAACAGTGAATCTTTTGCTCCCCAGGAAGATTGCCAAGTCTCTTCTACCAGTGTCTTGACTCTAGTGGCAGAAGAACCATTGCCTAGCAATGCTGGACTTGTGGGGTTCCCTCCCATGTCCATCCACAATCCCGATATCTTTGCATCTCTCCCTGACCCCTCAAACAGCCAGCCTACCAGTACTTTTCATGGCATGCCATATGGACTGGTTTCAACCCCAGCAATTTAGCCTTTCAGCTACCCATTCATCCCTCACCAACACCATTTCCCACCTATGATGGGTATGGAGGTGCCAGGTATGTCTCCCAGTGTCCCGACAGCTGATCCATGACAATCACAGACTTTCTTCAACTTTAATCATATGAACACGTAAGCTTCTTATAATCATTCCATTTGTACAATATTTTTGCAAGCTTTCCCCTCATGCTAACATTTATCTCATTATCTTAATGTCATCGCTTCATTTGTATATACAATTGCACTCATACTGTCATATCCATCTATGGCCATCATCCTCCACTACCTCTGATCCTTCCAGACTACCTCCACTCCTTTGTCACTACCTTGGAGCCCCCGTATTCCACAATCACCTCTGACTCCCTCAATGGTCACCACCCCCTCAATTCAATATATTACCTACACCTCCCTAAGTACAGAACCCTGAAGGCCTCCAGACAGCTCCAACATCCGGTAGCACACTCCCACCCCCGCTGGGCAATTCACTTGTTTGCCCTGTAAGTCTACCTTTGGGCCTATCCCTCCTTTCCATTTCTGGGTTATAGCCTGCCACTCCACTAACCCCATAACCCAACTCATCAGTAATATTCAGTTAGCTAACGTTTAACTCCATTAGCTCCGCTCCACTTGGTCCCATCATTCATGGGCCTGCCCTCGCTGTAACTATATATACATAACTTGTAGATAGGTTACACCCTAGTGATAAAATCGACTAGAGTTGACCCCCCTTTTAGTTCTCACTGCCAGTAAGTAAATTAGGGCACAGACATGTAACTAGGCACAGCGCTCCTGGTCTGAGTCGCTGAGGCCAAAGCCCTCAGCCACGGAGACATCTCCTTCGTCTCGCTTCTGGTCTCTAACACATACTCCATATCACACTAATGGTTGTCTTGATATCATTTGTACATACTCTCACATGTCTTCATCGCAATGCTACTCTGTTTGTGCAATCTCATTTCCGTTCAATATCACAGTACCACTCCACACAAACTGTAAGTAGGGGCGGTGGCGGCTAAAGTTAATTCGCAGGCTTGTATATACAAGTAGATATACAACTGTATATACAGGCCCAAACTTGAACCCAGCCATCTCCGCTCCCTGGATGTGCAAAATGTTAGAAAATAATGAAGTCTCCTTTGTATTATGATTCAAAAGTCACGTTCTCTGGACAAATCTGCACCGCATTAATCAATAAATAATATTGTCAATACAAATAACAAGTTACATATAACGGGGCTAAAGTGTTCATCTCTGATCATCTACTCTGAAAACCAGCACCACAACACTTCGCTACAACAACTGGCACACTATGGCAGTGGCTATGCTCTCCAGCAAAACCCGAAACAACTCTTGGATCTCAAAAAGGAATCTCTTAGAAGCGCCAAACCCCCCCCTCACTCCTTCACCATCTTCCACACCATGGACTCGCCCACAGATCATGCAATGAATGCTGGGACACCATCCGCTGAACATATAAGGATTAAAAGTGAAGTAGCTTGGAACCGACGTGCTTGCTGGTTCCAAGCTGAGATCACAGAGTTTCTGCTTCGCAAGCCAAAGCAGAATTTAGTATCAACAGCAGCAACAGGGACAGGGAAAACCTACACCTTTTTCATTGTCCCCATTTTTCCTACTGCCCATCTCAGCACTCAGAGGTGCCGGCTTTGCCCATTGCCTTGCCCATGTTTTGCTTTCCACAGTAAGTAAGTGGTTGATCAGGGCCCAAGTTGCTGGTGCCTTTGATTCGAATAATGACTTCAGTGTGCTAATTCTTCCATCTTCAAGCTGTGCCAGGTGAAGGTGGGTGGCATTCATGTGAAGCCCACTCCCCTTTTTCATAAGTACTTGTATTTCTTCCATGTAAATCGCTTCAGTGAAGGATCCAGTCTCTGACAATCGCTGTGCCAAGCTCAGGCTTAGGATTGAGAATCTGGACCTGAATTTCTCGTAATTTATCACCAAAGCCCCGGGAGGTCAAGATTGTTGATAGAAAAGACATAAGGGTGAACCCATTAGGTAACATGCAACTAATTACATTCATTGCATGATCTGTGGGCGAGTCCATGGTGTGGAAGATGGTGTAGGAGTGAGGGGGGGGTTCGGTGCTTCTAAGAGATTCCTTTTTGAGATCCAAGAGTTGTTTTGGGTTTTGCCGGAGAGCATCGCCACTGCCATAGTGTGCCAGTCGTCGTAGCGAAGTGTCGCGGTGCTGGTTTTCGGAGTAGATGATTGGAGATTAGCCCTGTTACATGTGACTTGTTATTTGTATTGACAATATTATTTATTGATTAATGCGGTGCAGATTTGTCCAGAGAACGTGACTTTTGAATCGTAATACAAAGGAGACTTCATTATTTTCTAACATTTTGCGTGTCCACGGAGCAGAGACGGCTGGGTTTAACGGAATAACCGCTTGCTCTAGTGCCAATAGCTCAATCTCAAGCAATATGCGCGAGAACTAATGTATTACCTAGTGCCAATAGCTGTAAGGTAATATACAATGATATAAGAAATGAAAGAAAGTTCAGTCTCAAGCAATATGCGCGAGAACTGAGGGAAAAGGAAAAGATTGAATATAGTTTGTGGTCTTCGCAGATAAGTCCGAAGTGACCAAAATAAGTAAGAAGAAAAAAGGTGTTGTGACCAAGTAGTCACGCTACCGCGGGAATGTGGCTGTCCGGGCGAGTTCCTCGCTCGGATGTGGGAATGTGGCTGTACGGAAAACTCGTCCGGCCTCCCCTAGCACACGGTTCCTCCAACAGGGTTCGAGTCTGATACAGGCCGGGTTTGGCCTATTAGGGGCCAACGAAAGTTATACAAATAATCCACCTAACGAGGCTTCGCCCACTGGGTGTCCAAGGTGGGCTTTGCAGCCGAAGGTACGTATGGTGGAGACTGACGGCTTATTTCCCGTCCAGAGTTCGTGTGGAGAGATGCCATCGGGGAGTGCGAAGTGGGGAACGATGTTTTTAATGAGCGCGGCATGTCGGAGTGCATAAGGCCAAGCTGTTCGACCCACATGCGACTTCACGCTTTCGAGCATGGCGATCGTCATCGTAACGAGGGTTCGGTTGACTCTCTCGGCGACGCCATTTTCTTGTGGAGTATTGGGATTCGTTTTCTCGTGGACAATACCAATCTCCCTGAGGTAATGTGAGAATTCATTTGAGAAATACTCACCACCTCCTTCAGTGCGCAAGACTGTTAACTTCCTGCCCGATTGCCGTTCAGCTTGGGCCAAGAAGGTCTTGAACGTTTCAAGTGCGTCACTTTTCTTTTTGATCGGGTAGACGGTTAGGTATCGGGAGTGGTCGTCAACAAAGGTGATGAAGTACCGATATCCTTCGCGAGTCACAGTCTGGACTTCGCAAACATCGGAGAACACGCGTCCAAGAACTTCGTTTGAACGGGTGAGTGTCTGTTTGGGAATGGGGGAACGTGTGTGTCCTGAGGCCTCGCATTCTTCGCAGTAGATTGAACCTCCCTTCCCATCTCCAACTACTTCCATACCCGTGGCCATCCCGCTACGGACCATCTTCAGTATTGACTGTGTCGAGATGTGTCCTAAGCGGGCGTGCCAGACATCGAGAGATGCCGTCGCTGTTGTTGTTCTAACAACCAGCGCAGTATCGACATTCCTGTCCCCAAGGGATTTGGTGATGAAAGCGGATTCCAATCCGGCCACGATGCAAGGCAATCGGTAGAGACCGCCAGAAGCTTTGGCGATACTGAGTAGTTCGTTATTTGGGTTGAGAATTCGGCAATTATTGGTGGAGAACTGTACTTGAGCTCCAACGGATGTCAAAAGTGTGTTACGGATAGGAGGTTAGTGCCGATCTTGGGACAGTAGAGTACATTACTGATGATGACGTGGCGATCGTCAGTTCCATTGTTCAGGACGACCTCGATTTGCCCCTGGCCAGTAGCAAAGAGAGCGTGCTTGTCACCTAAGTAGATGGGACGGGGAGGGTGAAGAGGTGAGTATGTTGAGAACCAGTGTCGATTCGCGCAGATATGAGATGACGCTCCAGAACCCACAACCCATCCAGTCACCCGTGCGCGATCGCTCTCTGCAACAGCCGCACGCCCCTCCGCTATGAGGACATCATCTTTCCTCTTGGTCCCCTTCGATGAACTCTGTCCTTCGTCCGCCTTAGGTGGACGCTGTCCCTCCGATCCTCCCCCTTCAGCCCAACACCGCTCAAAGGTGTGTCCGAGTTTGCGCTTGCAGTTTGGATTCGTGCAGCGCGGACGTTCCTTGTTAGGTTTCTTTCCATCGGACTTACTGGAGTTTTTATCAGAGGCTTTCCCGGGTTTGGCAATGAGAACGGTGGACGACTTCGACTTGGATTTTCGTTTTTCCTCGCCAAGGATCTGCGCTATAAGTTTCTCGCAAGATATTTTCGATGTGTTGTCAATGTCGGCAAGGGTTATCGCCTTGAGTGTGTCATACGACTCCGGTAACGCTTCCGAGACAATCATTGCAAACTTAGTATCGGTGTAAGTGTCGCCAAGGGTCGCCAGTCGGTCTCGTAAATCATGCATCTGGATCAGTTGAGGTTCCAAGAGTTTGGAGTCGTCCAGTTGGAATTGATGAAGTTGAGTCATTATTCTCGCCGCATCCAGTGCACTAGCCCCATTATATCGTTTTGCTAGGTCGACCCACATTATCTTTGCACAGTCATGTTTATCAACAAGGGAAAGAGGTGTGTCGTCAAGAGTAAGTCCTATCTGTGTTAGCGCAGCGTCATTCTTCTTATCCCACTCTATAGCAGCAGGATTGAGTGTTTTCGCGTAATCTTCACCAAGATTAGGAGTAGGTGGATTATGAGTGGAAGGACGGATGGAGGATAATGAATGAGGGTTGACACCTCCCCAAAGTCCTCGATCTTTGAGGACCATCTGGCAACGCACGGACCACATACGATAGTTACGACCGTCATTTTTTAGCTTTTCTATGCTGTAAAGACTTTTGGAAGAAGTATCGGTGGAAGTGGTAGCGGCCATGTCTAGGCTCATAACCTATTAGAATTAAGACTATGTCGCGTTAGACTCAGACTCGAATAAGAGTTCTGTATTGTAAATACCTATGTCGCGTTAGACTGCGACAAGAATTATATATGCGTTATAAGGCAAAATACTGAGAAATAGTTCTCACTTCAGACTCGAATAAGAGTTCTGAGGGAGGAAAGTCTAAGAATTCCTCCCTTATATACGTGATATTCCTGAGTGGCAACGTCGTCGTACAGACATATCGGACGGTGCTGGTGACGTGCACACCAATTTGGCAGGAAGGCGACAGCAGGCTGGCTGGCTGGTTACTTGTACTGAAGCAGAGGGTGGGGGCGGTGCACGAATCCATTGGGCCATATGGCACGGTCAATGGGGTTGAATGTGGCTCTGATGGAGTCACCTTGCGCGCGTTGCAAGGTCCATGACTGTGCCGGGCCATCATTGTCGTCGATGCCGTTGCTGGTGTTTGGGTTCGGGTCCATGGTAAGCTTCGAGTAACGCCACCCAAGTAGGTAGAAAAGGTGTTGGAATGGACTCTCCAGGCATATAGGGGGGTCCACCATCCACCCCTCATCCATCCAAGCGGATGCCACCTGAAACCTGCAAACCAATTTAGTGACACGGGTAGTAAAAACTTATAGAAAAAAGTGTACATTCCATCTCGGCAGCCGAAGAAGGCGCCATTAATCTTGCGGAACAGGAAGGGCTGCATGGGACGTGATCTGATGGAGTGGATGAGGTCGCCAACGGTAGTGCCAGCCTTGAGGTTGAAGGAGAAGGAGTGGCAGGTGCTGTATGATGCATCCGTGCGAGGGCGGAGCCTTATCTCAAAAATGCCAAGGGCAGGTGCGCCCTCAGACGGTTGATTGATGATCCAGTCATCAATCAGGGCAACCGTTTCCGGGGATAGGTCGTCTTTGTCACTGCCGACCCTCGTCTCCTCACTTTCAATGCCACATATGGCCATGGCGACCTCGACACCTTCCTCAACAAGGGGCGGCTTCCCTTGGCTCCCAAAGTCGCTGTAGACGCTGCCACCACCACTGACGCTGGGGGCATGGTCGGAGTCGGAATGGCCGACGCGGCTGCTGCCTCCGTATTGACCTTGATTCGAAGCAAAACTCTGGAAGTTAAAGCCCAGTTGGACTTGGCCAAGCACGCCTCCAACCGAGAGCTTTCCGCGCCAGTACCAATGGTTTTTCATTAGACCCTGGTCTTCTGTTTGCTATTTGTCGACATGTCACTATTGTGAAAAACAAGCAAAATCGATCCACAAACCAGCTGTGTGCCCACCACATGCCCAGCGTTTACGACATCAGCGTGGATTTGAGCATCCTGGATGACCAGATTTAAAATAGCGGGGGGGAAATTTTCAATGGAGTAGTCGCCTTCGAGAAGAGACGCCTGCATGCAACGGTAGTCAAGAAAGAGAAACACAATGATCATGGGGATACTGCACACAAGGCACAGCGATATACCGTGGTGGTTTCCGGTGCATCAGGGATAGGGGTACTCTCGCGCTGAAGAGACATCTGGAAGAAAACACGGTGAGGATGGGGATACAGTACAAGAGCACCGAGTCTAGGTGTTACACAACGTGCACTGTGTTGGAGAACAGCACGCTAGCCATATAGCCGTGGGTGCTACGTCATTCAGTCCGATTATGGCTGGCTTATGGATCCAAATATCTTGGTCACAAGTTCAAACCATACATTTGTCATATCTTGTGTTGATGAGCGACAATTGGTCTCCGAGTTGGACTAGAAGCGTGAAGCTCAGCTCAGCCAATATGAGTGAATTGTATTACCTAGAAGTGTGAAGCTAAAGGTAATGTACATATTGTAAGTTACAATAGTGAAGGAAATAGTAATAAAGGAATGTTATAACCAATAACTGATGGACGCGCTTGTTACCAAATGGCGACAAAAATATCCACGAACCTTGACCTCCACTACAACCCCTACAGCGACTCACACCTCCTCTCCCAACCGGACCGCAATCCCAGAGAAACGGCCAGACAACACACAGCCGGGGACCCAATGGCCATTAAAATCTTCCACCCGGCCCCCAGTTCCTGCACGCCACTCGACCACCACTATAGGGTATTCGGCAGACCCCCCCCAGAACTCCCAATCACCCCCACCCCCCATCTCCTGCAACCTAACGACGAGATAGCATATACGGACGGATCCTGCTCCCTAAACGGGAACACAAACGCCACAGCCGGCTTCGGAGTGTGGTACGGCCCAAACAACCCCCGAAATACCAGCAAAAGAATTAACCCCCGTCTCCCACAATCTAATAATACAGCCGAAATGCTGGCCATACACCATGCCGCGATATCCGTACCCCCGTCATCCAACCTCCACATCAAGGCCGACTCACAATGGTGCATCAGCACCCTCTGCGACAACCTCGAATCCTTAGAAGACTCAGACTACGCCTATGCCAAGAATCAATACATCACCAAACTAACAGTAAGCGCATTAAGATCCAGACTCACCCCTACCACATTCGAATGGCTAAAAGGCCATGCTGGGATCCGTGGAAACGAAGAAGCGGACAACCTCGCCGCAATAGGAGCACAACTGGCTCCCGACCCCCTCCCACCTGTAATGCCCCCCCTCCCCCACATACCGAGCGGCGCCCGCCTAATTTCCCTAAAACAGTCCACAGCAACAAGACTAATATGCAGAACCAGATTAGCGAAAAACCCGGTACGGAAAATAGCAACGCTTAACAACATCACCAAAATCCAAACGACCCTGGCGAGTATGAACAATGACTCCCCCACACAAAACAAGATCTGGGAGAACCTAGGGAAAAACCGTAAAGATGTCTCCCCCGAAATCCGCAACTTTGTATGGAAACTAACCCATAACTGCCTCAGGATCGGCGACTACTGGAATAAAATCCTAGGCTTCGAACACCGCGGTGAATGCAATGGGTGCCAACAAACAGAATCAATGACACACATACTCTTTGAATGTCCCCTCAATCACGGCGCCTGGGTTTGGTCCACAGCCAAGGCGATATGCGATCGCCGGAAAATAGAATGGCCTAACGACCTAAACACCTCACACATAATGGCCGCCCCACTAACCAAGATAATGAACACCAACGGTAAAGTAAGGATGGGCGAAACCAGACTGTACCGAATCGTAGTCCTAGAATGTGCATGGCAAGTCTGGAAGATGCCGCAGAGTTATAGATGCCGATCACCCGCAAACCTCACTAAGAGAAGTAAGAAATGCCCTGAAAGCCGGCCTCAACGACAAGCTCCAGCAAGACATTGCCCTCACAAACCGTAAGAAGTACGGCCGGAAAGCCCTGCCGGCCAAAACAGTCCTGCTTACCTGGAGTGGGAACCTTCACAACGAAGACATACTACCGGACAACTGGCTCAACAGCACCGGGGTTTTAGTGGGTATACCGGACCCCCCCGGGTCTGGGAGTCCCACACAGCGCCGACACCCGGCCCAGTGCGTAACGCATTTCCCCGCGGTGGCAGTCCAACACTCCCACTAACCTATCTACTCCACGGGACCTACCTCCCTATACAAACCCCAAATACATGAAAATGTATCGCGAAAGCTACTGGGGTTCCACCAAAAAAAAAAAATAAAAAAAAAAATAACTGATGGACGCCGCCTGAAGCGGCAATACCCGCTACTCCCACATCGATGCAGCGTCGCAGCCCACTTAGAAGTCACTCTGGAGCCGTCTTTGCACGCCGTGGTACTAGGTGGTACTACAAATGTAAAATATCGTTAAGTTTTAAATCAGGACCGAGTCTGCATATACAACCCCACTGACATTATGAACCTGAATTGAACGCCACAGCAGTATAACACTCCAAGACTGGCGAAGGAGTTTATTTGGTTTCGGTGAGTAAATACAAGCAAAATGTCACGACAGTGTTCGAGAGAGGGAGGTGATTGGTTTGTCAACAGCAAGGAGAGCAATGCAGACGGTGTGTAAAAGCGCGCGCGAAACCTGAGAGTAGGCAGGAACCTGAGAGGACAGGAAGGTAGTCAAAAAGAAGATGGAAAAACAAATCACAAGAGGGATATTGAGAGCGGTGCGCAACACATGCATCTTGAGTAACAATCGCCGGTCAGGGCATGGCGTAGGAGCAAATTCCATTGATCGTTGATTGACAATGAAAAATCATATAGGCCGTGAGCGATCGCTTCTTTGGTTAGATGATAATCGCAATCAGCTTCAGTGGTTTAAATGGCCAGGGGCCACTTAAAAAGGCTCGGTGTGGAGAGGACGCCATAGTGTGGAGCAAGAGTTTGGGCAGGAAGGAAGTGCAGCGGGAGGGTTGGAGGATTTGGGCAGGAAAGAGTGGGAGGGTGGAGGTTTGGGTGTAGGGCCAAGTGGTGAGTTAGGATCCGCAGCGGTGAGGGACAACTTGGGTTAGCTCGGTAAGCAAGTTGAGGTAATCTGGAGTGTCAGAAAGCTGAGGTAAAAAAGGGAATAACCAATAACGGTGCTCAGGTATTCAGTTTGTGCACGCAAGACCCGCTACAGAGTAGCAGGAATATGCGTGAAGAACTGGGGGAAAAGAAATGAATTCAAAATGAATGAATATATCCGTGGCCTCGCACGGATTAGTCCGAAATTATAGGTGGCTGTCCGGGCGAGTTGCTCCCCCAGCCGTGGGAATGTGGCTGTACGAAAACTCGTCCGGCCCTGGCTCCCCTAGCACACGGTTTCTCCAACATCTTGAACTCCATGCAATATGTATTATCTTCCCCTTTCCGCCAGTCTCCACTACAAAGTCATTGTCTTCACCCAACATGGAATCGTTCATCCAGACCTGAGGTAAGACCAAAATATGATTATTATTTAGCCTAGCTAATCTTGAGCTAATCGTGACTTGTATTCCAACAATGGAGAAGGGATGCACACGAGTTATACATCTTTAAATTCTAACGGGCCTCCTTTTCGAAGCATGCAATTGTGGCGAGTCTCATCACTCTATCAATGTCTTGCCATATATTGGGACCGCTGAGTCTGTCGACATGTTTGAGTGTCGTCAGAGGCCCGTTACGAATCAGCTTCTTGCTCGGCGATTGTTTCCGTGTGCACCGTGCAAATCGTCCCTGGCTTTCTCCTTAGAAATGCTGGAGTTTGCTTCACAACTCTTCGTTTGCATGGCGCCAAGCAACCGCGCATTTGCGGCTACCACTGAGGCGGTTCTTGCTGCCAATGGATTCCCATTTCAAACCGAAGACTCGTTGTGGCGCCGCTTTCCCAGTGCACTTCTCCATTATCAAATACTCGTCCAGGAAGTGGATACAGAGGTCCAGCGTTTGGCTCGTGAGCCTTCAATTGACCAATGCGGATGCTACTCGCCCTACTAGGGAGGACGCCGATCCTACGGTATCTATTGCAGATGATGTGATCGACAGGGATAGTGTGCTGGTGCTTTAAAATTAGATGAGACAACTGGACTTGGAGCACAGAAATATCTCAATGCTCAACACGCAGCTTCGATCCCTTCGGACACATCATCTGCTCTCCCTCCCTGCTCATCCCCATCGCCCGAGACCCCGAGTGAACATCTATGGTCAAGATGTCCACTATGTTTTGGTGGAACCAACGCTGTATCTCCTGGACTTCTTTCCCAATGCATCGTGTGTCTTGATGCTGATTTTCAACTGAAGCGTAAGTCTGACCGTGATATGCGCAATGGCGGAGATGGTTCCAGGGATCCACGATACCTTTCGCCTCATTCTATCATCTTGGAGCGGGCGTTTGTGGAACATTGGCGGGATATCGTAGAAAAGGTCCAAAGCCTACTTGACCATCTCGCGTCAAGAATAGACGCAGCGAGGCACCGCAAGATGGTGAAGATAGGGTTGAGCCCGGCCTCCCGGGCCCTAACTCGATGTATGATGCGTATGGTGAATCTTTCATTGCCGCTGATGGTGATTGAGTCAAGGCCTCCACTCGTATGTTTGATGACGCTGGTGTCATGGCGATGCTCTGCCCCCATGATATTCCCTTATTTCTTGCAAATATTTGGACCCCAGGGGAGAAGCAGTTTATGCATTTCCTCTCATAGCTGCACTTCTTCAGCACATCCCGTCATCATGGAAAGTTGGCATCCCCAATGATATAGGTTGCCAAATGGATCATGCACTGAAGAAGTTGGATTTTGCGCCAGGCTGGCGATTCCGTCTCGCCTGGGGTGTCAATCTTCCATGCATACGGCCATCAGTACAATTGTCAGCTCCGGTATCACCCACGAAAGAGTGTGATCTGGGGCCTTACGGATGGCGAAGGTCGCGAGCGATTTTGGAGTGAGCTTCGACGATTAACCCCTGGGTTACGTGGTACTGGTTATCATCGGTGTCTCTTCATCCTTGATACGCAAGTGGGCTATATTGACACGCAGAAACTTCCGGCCCTTGCCATGGTTGCGTACTCGCGCAGCAAAGGCTCATGGGAAGGAGAGAGATCGCTGGAAAAACTTGGGAACCGTTCCGTTGGGCAACTGCTCGAGTATCTCGAGTACATCGCTCCAAACCTCAGCAGCGTCAATCAAAGACGGCTGCTCAGAAACACATTGATCGCATCCTCAGTCTCACTGCCACTGTAGAGTTGCAGAAGAAAATTCACAAGGATTTGGGGGGGTGTGGCGGCGCTCTTCAGGATCCAACTGATTCTGTTGCTCGTGCGCTGCTGGCGGATTGGCAGGAGAGGTTTGACCAGAGTGAGCAGAAGTTAGTCCAATTGGAAAGACGAATTGCAGACGAGACTGCAGCACTCAAATCAACACGACCGGTTGATTTCTCAGAGCTCCAGGAGTTCGGTGCACTGCGGAATGCGGATCCCGCCCTTCGCGAAGTCTATCTCCCACCAGTTATTCCTCATAGTAACCGATACAAGACCAGCCCATTTGGGAGAACTCTGACTGGCCAGAAGCTTCGGGAGATGCTCTTCCCTGTTGACTTACTGATGTGTAGGGTCGTTGGTGTTATTTGTGTGGGTGGGGCCAGGCGCGTTCTTTGCCAATGAGAAGCTGTTGTTTCTCCAGGGACTTCTGAAGCGCTGGCGTCTCGACAGTGGCAGTGTCCCAATTGCCGAGGACGCTCCGGACTGGCCAACTCTCATGTCTTTCTTTCTTCCCACGTGTTACTGTCGGAAAATCCCGTTGAACGTTGTTTTATGTTATTAATGTCTCATTTCACGAGACTAATCACGGGACAGCGCTTACCTCAACCGCGCAACGATTCTGCACTAAACCTAAATCCACCCCATGGTTTGTGACGGTACAGGCCTAGCGTCCCTCACAATGCGCATGAGGTCCCCTGAGAATAAACTACTCGTCCTGCGAGCATCGACAATTAAAGTTAAACCATATATGTCTTCCCGTCCCCGTATAAATATTTCCAAACAAAATCTCCGTCCTCGTCCTATCGTACATGATCCACTAAGTCCTAGTCGTCTTGGACTTCCTTCCTCCCGAGGCCAATCTATCTACCTCACTCTCGCTACTCATCATCGGGTCATCCTTGAAGCACAACTTCCCTCCCACAGACCCCGAGGCTCCGGCCACCAAAGGCCTCACCTCATCTCTTTCCGCGATCTTTCCTTCCTGCATCTCCGTCTCTCTCGTCGCCGATCTCTCTCGATGGGACTGTCCTCTCGCCAAGTCCATCCACTCATCAAGACTCGAACTCGCCTGCTCCACATCGCCCATCTCGTCTGCAGTAAGGTCTGGGCCGGGAGGCCTCAACTCTTCGAACTCGAACTCGTATCCGTCACTGCTCTCGGACTTCATATAAAGGCTGCTCCGCATGCTAGGAGGGTCTTTAGGCTGGGCCACTCCTGCCACTCGTTCTTTGCTGTCGTCCGTCCACGTCTTACTAATTCCGTCGCACGGAACTCGACTAAGCTCAAGGCCAGGAGGCCTTAGCTCTTTAAACTCATACTCACGCGCTACTCGTCTGGGACTGCCTTTGTACTCGAAAACTTCATAAATAACACCGTCCGTAATCCTCCAGTCACCGCGCTCGGCTGGAGGATCCTTTGACTGATGCACTCGCACTAAACCAAATGCACTATCCTTGTCTCTGACATCGTTCTTCCTTGCCGTCCTGTCTTCGTCCATCTGCCTCCTCTTGCTTGTTTGCGTACTCGCATTGACTTCCGGCGTTCTCTCTTTCGACTCCACTGGCCGGCTTTGTCTCAACTTGGCTACTTCCGCTGCGTAGTTCTCAACTTCCTGAGCCATCTCGCGACCTAACTTAGGCTCCGTGGCTACGGTTCTTGGAGGTGAATGTCGCCTAGGTGCAGGAGGTTGAAGATGGGGTGGACCTGACAGTCCTCCTATCCTCGACTTCCTCTCTGGTGCTCCAATCTCCGCTGCGTCGTAAACTTCCTATCTGGCTCTAAGACTTCCGCGGCTTTCACTCTTCCTGAATCGCTGGGGTAACTGCTCTGTGCATTGTTGCACTCAAACGAAAAACTGCGCGTCTTGTACTCTCGTTCTCGTATAGAACTGGCTCCATAGATCGCATAGCTGGTGCGTCAATGAATCTGATCACGTTGCTGCCATTCTGAATTGGTGGCTGCGCTGCGCTTAACTTGGACTCCGTGGGCGCTTCGATCGCTAGATCGCATCCTCACAACTCTTCTGAACTCTCCTGCGCTGGATCCACGACAATTGGGAATGAGTGCCAGGGCATGGAGTAGCCACAGGGGCCGTACTCCTTCCACAAGTCACTCCGCATCGCCGGAGGATCTTTCGACTGAGACACTCGCGCTCTAACCTCTTCGTCGTCAACCGTCTGATACAAATACTCGCAAGGAGTGAAGCCGAGTGACTCCTCAACCACAGTAGAGCAAGGGCTGAGGCCTTAGCTCTTTAAACTCAACGTCCCGATCGCTGCATCCTGAATCGCTAAACTGTGAACTGTCCGCGCACTCTACATCCATTTCGACTATGCTAGAGCGAAGGCTGGGAGGCCCAAGCTCTCTTGACTCTGTCTTTCGTTCGGTTGTCTCGTTACTCGCAAACTCAACCATCGCCTGGGGTGAACTCTCTGGCATTGCAGACTCGATCACATCAAACTCGCGCGATCTGGGCACATGTGCTGCTTTCACATCCAATGAACTTTCGTCGCTGGTCTCATACTCCGTCGTGTCAAGCAAAACTCGTTCTGTGGTGCCAACATGGCTGCTGCTCATCGTACTTAACTCATCGTCGTCAAACTTAAACGGTATTTCGTAACTTCCCTCATGTGGTCTGATCTGACTCTCGTGAACTTCGTCTAGATCCGACATCTCATCAATCGAATCGACCGGGAACTCTGGCGCAGGGACGATCGCGCTCTCTCCTAATCTAACTCCATGTCCGCTGGCCAGTGACTCCGTGTCACATCGTTCTCGTATGCAATCAAACTCTTCGTCTGTGCCCATCCGTTCCAACAATCCGTCACTAACTTGACTCTCCTGTCCATCTAGGTCGGCAATCGATGCCCGTTCGTCATCACAACTTGAATCCGCGCTTGGAATCGCAACATCTTCTCTAATCTCCGCGTCGATCGTTGACTCAGCACGCGTCGCACATGGACTACGACGAAGGCCTGGAGGCCTGAGCTCTTTAAGCTGGGGCTCTCGCACTCGGGGCCTCACTTCACTACTGCGCTCAATCATCTTCGTAAGTCTCTCATCACTACCTGGCTTCGTCGGCGTTACTCGCTTTGCTGACGCGATCTCTGCATCTACGTTGACACAGATAGCGAAACCGTCCATCCGCTTCGTCTTACTAACTGGATCGCTCTGGGCCGAAGTATACTTGGCCCGATCGTCATCATCCTTAACTTCCACGTCAAGGTTGACTACCTCATTCGAAATCGATGAAACCTCTGTGTTCATCGCTTTCACTTCCACTTCCACTTCGTCTTCTTCGTCCGTCATGTACTCTACCATGTTAGTCTGTCTCGTAGGAATTCTATGAATCTTCGTTGCTGCAGTTAACCGTTTGTTGAGTTCGTAAGATGCCCCAAAGATCATTCCCAACGGAATAGTGACATTCTGGTCCATCAAACGCTTGAACAAGTCGTCGTTCTTGACGCGTTCTTGCAACTCTGACGCAAATCGATAGGCTGGACCCGACTTCTGTCTGAAACTCGCCCGCTTCGGGTCCCGCACTTCAATGTTCTCAGGCAACTTCTTAGGCTTACTCGAGCTGGGAACTGCTCTCGGGTTCAACGCAACCTGAGGGTCAGCTCTCTGCTTTCCCTTATCTCGCGAAGCTGGCTCTTCTCGATCTACATCCATTCTTGATGGACTACTCGGCTCTGGAGACGGTCTCTTGAGAATAACCGGTGGCTTGGCCGGCAGTTCAACGTATGCCCAACTCGGTGGTGCTGCGTTCTTTCTCAACTTGTCTGGCGGAATCATCTTAACTTGGGGTGGGGGTGGTTGAGGACTCCTTGGTCGTTCATATGGCTTCGATCTCGACGACCTCCCCTTCTCTTTCTCCGTTCTCTTGGCTGGAAACACTTCGTACACAGCATCTCCTAACCCTCCAAACTCGTGGATCGCTGTGGTGCGCATCGCGGCTCTCTGCCTGATCAAATACGCTAACTTCTCTTCGCCAAAAGCATGGATGGGGTAGTCTACTGCCATCTGCCATAACCAATCAATTGGTGGCATTGAGCTTCAACACACCTGCCGCTAGGAATGCTCGCGTCTCGGGAACTCGTACAAGAACTTCTTCACCTTCTTCCTCTAAATCTCGGCACTTCTCTACTCTGTGGCCCTGGCATGCACGTAACTGTTGTGTGAACAGTTGCGGCTGCAACTCCAGCCACATTCTGATGGATCCCATCCAACTCCGGTGCTTCGCCACCATCAAGTAAACCTAAAACATTCCCCCAGTACATCCCGCAAAAATCATGTGTTTGACGAATATGAAAATGATGATATATTTTTGAATCCGCCAATTACAACATTGTGACATGAAGGGAATGAATAAGATGCAAGCGTGAAGACGCACGGGTAGGTGCCCGGGCACCTTGGGGCATTTAAGGGAAGGGAAAAGAAAGTTGCATACAGTATGTTGTAAACGCGGCATTCCAAATATGGTAACCCGCTTCAGCGGTTCACTCGCAACCCAGATGTAATATAGAAAGAAATATAACTAAAATACACACAGCGCTCCAGCGCCCATATTTATACTTCCCAACAATATTCCAGGCTCTTCTATGCCCAGCGCTTACGCAGGTGCCTAGTAACCCGTAGAATATTCCGGTTCAGTTTCATCATGTGACTCGTATTCCAACACAGTAAGAAGAAAATAGTGGATGAGATCGCTGAGGTCAGAATAACTATTCATATGGATAAATTGGTTCAAGATTCCTAGCGATGGTGGTTTGGCTTAGTGGCTACTGCTGCCTCCTCTTCAATTGTGTGTCTAGAAGGTTCTGGTTCAAATCCTGCATCTTACTGTCTCTTTTTTTGTTTCTCCCTTAGAAAACTTTTAAAAAAACTTCCAAAAGGGGTGATCAATGTATACATTGGGCAGCTGCTTTTGACTTTGTGATCAACCCTGGATCCATGGCTGAAATTAACCCTTTATATATTACTTTTAAGGTAGAGTAGATGTGAGGTCTACTTGGCCTAGTGGGTTATAGCGCTGTTTATGGACCCCTCTGCTTGTGAGGGTTTGATTCATTCTTGGTGGGGTTGTTTTGCCAGAGTTATTGCACAAGGATGACTTCAATGTATATATAATAGCGATAAGGAATGCTACACTAACTACACTAAACAAACCCTATGCCGAGCATGTTCTACAATACACAAGCGTTGTGATGGTAATTAATAATCTTGGTTTTGTAATTGGGTTGGGTTGGGGAATGACAGGGAGGGACGACGTGAAATGAATAATTATTAGATAATAACATCACATGTAGGCAATGGACCATCATTTTTTGTTCAGCCCTGATCACGTGTATATTTCCTTTTGCGCTCATCTCAGGGGGGTTTTGTAGGTTTTCTATTTTTGAACTATTTTTGCTTTCAGCACATGATCTTTGCGGGATGCACTGGGGGAATGTTTTAGGGTTAGTGCCACCATCATTCTCCAGGACTCCTTCTCCGTCATTGTACTCTCCTTCTACCTCATTGAACTCATGCTGAGGACTGTGTTCCTCAGCTTGGAAACCAAATGGCTCAACAATGTGTGCCATTTAGATACCCAATGTACCTGTTCCTAGACTCGTGCAATAAAACTCTTCTTGAACTTCTGTAAACTCCTTTGTGTGAATGATAAACTCCAAGTCCAGCGTCCATAAGATCCAACTGAGACTTGAGACACTCCAACGATGCATGAAAACTTGATGAAACATCCATAAAAACGAGAATGACCCCCTGTAAGGACCACCAGAAATGAAAGAGGGCTTGCGGCTCTCTATGCTGACTAAGCTTGTGGGGCCAAACTCTCCAAAACTCCTTCTCTCACTATGCTCTCAATCCTTAAACTCTGTGTGGGTTCTCCAGGATTTCTGCAAGGTCCAGGCTCAGTGTCCACTACTCACTCGTTGTGAGCTAGATCACTGCCCTTATTCCTACTGTTGGAATTCCACTCACTCACTCCAACTCTAGCGTGTCCTAGCACCTTAGAGAATTTGGGGGAGGGGAGCTATTCCAGAATCTGGTATGTACAGGATATAAGGAACAATGATTTTTAGAAATAATAAATGAGGAATATTGGTGCCATATGGCACCTGGGTATTTGATTAGGCGAAATAATAAAAAAGGGTAACAGTAACAATAAAAGAATACTAATCAGGGTTGACTGAGGTCGTAGCACGGCCCAGGAGGCCTAGAATATATTGGCAGCAAGCAAGCGGCGTGAGACATGTGTGATCCAGCTACAAGTACAAAGAAGTTCCAGAGATATACACAAGAAAGTAGAACAATGGATAATAGTAATACATGCAAACTCCGGAACAGTTAGGAGCTGGGAAAAGATATGGAAACAGATACACACAAGATCGGGAATGAAGTAATCGGTTGTTAGAATGGGTGGATTCAGACGACTCCGGAATGGAATCGGAGACTTAGCATGGAAGGACCTCGGCCTCAGTGACTCAGGCGGAGCGCTGTGCCATTGCTGGTTGTCCTGGGGTCCCTAATTTCGGATCTAGCAGAGGAAAGCCTCTTGGGGGAATTCATGTCGATTTTGGACTGAGGTTACAAGTTACTAGGTACATTTGTATATAAGGAGGGGTCCGGAATCAAAAGGAACAAGGGTAAGACGAAAGGAGACAAAGGGAGATGGAAAGAGGAACAACACCGAGGGTCAAGTGTTTGACTCAATGGTGTTTCCCAAAGGAGGAATGAAGGGCCAAGGCCCAAGGAGGAAGGAAGGAGGATGGGAGTCAGGAATGGCTAGCTGACTGAATAGAAGGAAGCAGCAGCCCAAATAGGAATGAGGGAGAATAGCAGAATTGAAATGGACAATGCAATAGTTGCAAGGTCCGGAGTAAGTCCGGAAAGTTCGAACTCG